TATCGAGCATACAGAGGGGACGATATGATGAGGGGTCGTCTGGTGGTTTGTTCCCTTTTGGGAGCAGTACTAGCCTCTGGTGCTTCCACGTGGCTGGGAAGGTGCCCTCTGTCAGGCATTCGTTGTACACTTCCAGGAACAGCGCCGGCATCGCGTGGATAGCTGATTTCAGAGCGATGTTTGGGATTCCATCCAGACCAGGAACTTTGGTGTTACCCACTCTGTTACAGGCTTCCATCCGCTCTTCCTTGGTGATTCGTGGAGCCATCATCCCATCTCACTCGCCAGTTTGGTGTAGTTCTGGTTGTTGTGGGAACAGCACCGTGACGATTTCTATCAACAGTCCAGGACACGTTGGTGACAGCATTGGTTGACTTTTGAAGCGCATCATCACAACCTTATATGGTCTGCCCCATGGGTCATGTTCCACCTCAGCAAGTAGCTCACCCCAAGCTTGCTTTTTACTGCACTTGATTGCTTTGCTGAGTTGACGGCGTGCCTTCTTATACCTCATCCTCAGTTCTTCCGAGTTCGGCTTCCTCCGGCCACGCTGTTCCAATCTCCTGGCTCTATTACACTCCTTCCGTAGGATGGCAATAGTTTCATTCCACCAATATACCGGTGGATGCTGGTTTGTGGTCCGCTTCCTGGCTATGGTGGCATTGCATGCTTCTGTCACTCTCTTCATGATGTTGTGTGCCTTCTCAGTAGCATTGTTTCCGCTAATCGGGTGATTATCCAGTGCTGCTGAGAAAGTGCTCGAATCGAAGGTGCTCACTCTCCAGCCAATACAGTTGGTCTTTTTAGGCCTTAAGGCGACTCTCTTGCGAGTACATGTCTCCCAGATTATCGCACGGTGGTCGCTGGCAGTGTAGATATCAGATACTCTCCATGAGTAGTTCCTTTTTGCAAGGTTGCTACTCACGAAGGTAAGGTCCACAATTGAGCTGTTCTGTCCCCTCACGAAGGTTGATTCATCGCCACTATTCAGCAGAACCACGTCCAACGATGATATGGCTTCCAGTAAAGCTTGTCCTCTGGCGTTCGTCTTCTTACTCCCCCAATCGACTGCCCAGGCGCTAAAGTCACCGGCTATTGCCACGGGGAAGTGGTGTTTCGCATCCTCGGTCAGTCTATCTAGGAAGTCCGTGAACTCATCAAAGGAAAGACTTGGCGGGGCGTAGCAGCTGTAGTAATGAATTCCATCAACCTTAGCCTTTATGAAGCCCTCTTGTTTGCTATTTCTGGTGATGCTCTGAAAAGAACGATTCCCACAAACTGAGATTACAGCCTTCCCACTAGCGTCGGTTATCCAGCATTGAGTGTCAAGATGTTGATATGGCTCCGAGATCATGACGAGGTCAAGTTTCAGCTCCCGCACCGTTTGCGTGAGCAGATCGTGTGCGTCCTCACAGTGATTGAGGTTGAGATGTAACACCTTGCACTTTCCCCTCCTATGATCGCCTTTTGCTGGTGAGCTTCTGGAGTGCTCCTTGTAGGCTGGGCATCTACTGCTACCAGCGAAATGGGCACAATTATTCATATTGCCATTTTCAGTGCAAAGGGCGCACACAGGATCCTTCTGGCTTTCATTGGCTTGGTGGCCGTTCTCTGAACACCTCACGCAGACCTTAGATCGGTCAACTGCGCTTGGACACCTGGTGGCGCGATGTACGTAGTGCCAGCGCTTGAAGCACTTGACCAGTTTCTGCACTCTTCGGATACGGCAGTTCACCCAGCTGATCTTGATCTTCCTATGATCATCCTCCCCCACGATTTTCTTCACGGCAGCTGCCGTGAGTGTCAGCGAGGCAGTTTGGGTTCCTCCATATGCCATACGTAAGGATTTGACAATCTCAGAGCCTATTTTATGCTCCTCATCTACTACTTTACGTAGGGCTTCAAGAACGTCCTCCTTTTCCATCTCCAGATCGAGGTCTTTGATCTCGAGATCTTCCAACGGCTCCTTACTCAGTATTTCAGCCTACTCTCCAAGGAGGTCAACAATGGCTGATCGTAACTGGGAGCCCTCAACGGTCGTCTTCTTGCTCAAGATGATCAGCATGTCTCCTGTTGTTGTACGTCTGATCTTCTCGACGCATTCACTGGCCTTCTCGCAGGCGCTGTCCTTCTGAACCCGCCTAAGGATTTCTGCATATTTCTCCTTTTCTTTTGGGCGAATGATCAGCGCTTTCGGCCTGACCGCCAACTTTTTCTGAGTCTGCTGCGGGTTCGGGTTTCCCCGTAGCGACTTTGAAGTCGGGTCACCTTTCTTCCTTCTTCGCTTCCACTTCTGCCAGTCTTGGTCTTCTCTGGCCTTATCCTCGTTGGACCTATCTTGTTTGGTCTTGCCCTTGGTTTGCTTGTCCTTGGCAAGCTCCTTTAAGAAACAATCATTCCTCTTCGACTCCTTCTTCGGGTACGGTGTCGTGACGCGTTTGGGTGGACTCGGAGTCTTCTCTTGCTTGGACCTTTTGAGCGAATCGGAATACGTTCCTGGCGATTCCCGATTTCTCTTCTTTTTGTCCACAGTGCTTTGAAGAACCTGCTCTTGGGACGTCTTTTGGGATCCTGCATCCGCCACCATCTCTTTTGGTATGGCTTCATGCGTCGATCTGAGACGCTTAGCAGAAGCCTGGATACTTCTTGCAAGCCGGCGAATACCTTCATTGATGGTTCGCCTAGACTTGTCTGTTACCTGTGGCCATCCCATGTCTGCTTGTGCTCCATTCTTCCATTTGGAGCACTGAGCTCCGTCCCCTGGTGGGTCTGAGACCCTGCTTCACTTGATGCATGAAACGTCAAGTGCTCCACCTTTAATGAATGTGATGATTAGCTCCTCCTATAATCCATGGAGCCGGCATCCGAACTGATAGCGGGATTCTCCTTGTTAAGGCTACCCGCATGGGAACTTTCAATTTTTTCATCACTCATCATTTTTGTACTAGCTGTTATCGGGAGCCTGACCCGGGGGTGTTTTAGGGAGCCCACCCTGCACACCGCTTTTAGAGTTAAGTTTCTCGGAAGGTATTGGTTTGCGCCGACGTATTTTATTTAGTCGATACCCTATATTCTGAACGGCAGTTCAGAATATCGAGCATTCCCCTATCCACCACCTGGGGACGCGCCACGTTACAGGACCTTCCAACCTGCGAAAACTCTCGGAGGGTAAAGGCGTTCCTCGCCGAAAGGATCCGTGGCGTGTGTGTGTGTGTGTGTGTACGTATGTGACCAAAATTTTGTCCAACGATATCTCCTGAAAGAATAAAGCGATTGATTTTTTTCTTCCTTTAAACGATGCGTGTTCATATAACTTAGAACTCATTAATTTATTAAAATAATTGACTCAGCGGTCTTTTATTGATCCGCATACAACTTGCAAAAAAATGCCAAAAAGCGTTAATTTCATAAAAATTCGACCATTTTACCTAAGGTAACGATGGGATTTAAATTAAATTTGTGTAATTGATTCGTCTTCATATAACTTGATTCTCATTGGATTTTGAGTGAAATCGCCTCAGTGGTTGTCGAGTTTTTCAAATAAAACTTTCGAAGTTTGCAATTAAAAAAAAGGGAAAGTTTTAGAGTGGGTTAACTTTGAAGTTGCAAATTTTTAAGTGGATCAGCTTCGGAGTTGAGACAATTTTGAAGTGGGTCAAGTAAAGTGGGTTTAACTCAAACTTGATGGAAATTTGAGTTAAGTTAAATTGCCAATGCGTTCTTTGCGAAATCACCCTAAGGGTATTGCCACAATGGATGCAACGCTAAACACATGCAATGCATGCAATAACTATCCAACTGTTCTCCGAATATTTCTGACATTGACTAGTGTTGCGTATAGCGTGCACTGCATTCACTGTGGTATGACCCCAGCGTCTATTAAATCTGCGAAGAAACTTTCCTTCTATGGGTATTTCCTCGGGGGAACGTGAGAAAAAGATTGAATAGATAGATAATAAAAAAATGAATGAAAGAAAAAACAAATGGTCAAGAAGTCATTGGTGCGACCCGTAATGGGTCACACCCAATTCCACCAACCCCTACCGCTCATACCCCAAAGAGGGAGCGCGCAAAGCGCGCGACCAGGCGTCATTTTTCATATACAAAATTGGCGGATTAACACGTGTATGTTTTCTCTGAAATTCTTTCATGACTTTTTATTCGAATATAGATTTAAATGAACTCTATCTATTACCATGAATTCAAATTTAATTTGTTATATAGTTTCAAAAAATTTCATATTGTTCCAAAAAAGTTTTTTCAAGGATCACCTGAAGTATCATCATTGAAACAAATTTTTTAATGGCTTGAAGAATTGATGTCAATAGTCTATTGATTCCATCAGAATATGGTGGAAATTATACCCTTCACAGTTGAGTTTCAATGTATTGATGCTTTCTTTAAATCTTTTTTTTAAGGTTACTAAACTTTATTTCTGACCCTCGTCACCCGTATTTTTGGTATCTATTTTTTACCCCCATTTTTGTTCTCTGTGACGCTTATTTCTGACACTTATTTCTGATGCTTATTTTTTATGTTCATTTCTGACCTTTAGGACCTCTAGTTTTAACTCTTCTTCCTGGCTCTTATTTTTAACCATCACATCTGACCTTTGTAACCTTGATTACTGACCTAGTTTTCTGACCCTTGATTTTGACCTTTATTTAGGATACTCACGTGTTCTCCACTAATTATGCCCGCCCGGACTTGGACAATTGAATGTCGTTGACATCTTATACGATCATTGTCATTGTTATTGTACGATCATTGTCGGTCACAGATGAGTTTACTATTGATATAATCTCATCTGTAACAATGATCGTCCCTACTAGCATTGCTCACGTCAAGTACAAGCTATGAGTCAATAACCCGCAACAAACTCATAGGTTCTCAATGCACGTTAGGGATCCCTGACCAAATTTCTACTCAATACATTACTGATTTGTTAGCAACAATAATTATACTCATTAACGAAAAATGATATTATTTGTTTGTTTCAGTATCCAAAGCTGAAATTTCCGGCAATATGGAGTTGTACATTAAGAGCGGAAGTGACATAAACCTCACTTGCACAGTACTTCAGACACCCGAGCCACCATCTTTCATCTACTGGTAAGTTTGATTGGCTCTATCGAACGGATCTCCTTTCCCCCATATTCCGCCCTTTCCGCAAGTTTGAAAGCATTTTCCGAATCACTGGGAATCATTATTATCTCAAAAAACTATTTTCTACTGCAAATGAAAATTTCCAGAATTGACCATTGAGAAATTCGTTCATAATGAAATTGAAAGGGAAAACAATTTTTCATCAGTCTAGTTACATGTTCTGTATCATCTGGAAGAATTTCAATTAGAAAGTAGAGAATCAAACGTTATTCTTTTAAAGGTACAGAGGTGATCACGTCATAAATTACAGTCAACGTGGTGGTATAAGCGTTGTAACGGAGAAACAAACCAGGACTTCACGTTTGTTAATATCACGAGCCCTCCCAGCTGACTCTGGGAATTATACCTGTGCACCGTCAACAGCTGAATCCGCGAGTGTTCTGGTGCACGTGCTTAATGGTGAGTGAATTTCCACGGTCAGTTATTCTTATTTTATCCATCTTCCTTCGTTTACTCATTTCAATCCAATTTTCACCCGACGTTTCTCAATTGAACTGACAATTCCAACTCCCTATCTACGTGATCTCTTGACCCCCTAAAGAATCCGATTATAATAGATTGACGAGACAATTGTTTCGAAAATGTCTTTTTATGGTTTTTCCCTGCAAAAATATATATGGGAACGAAACACTACATAAAATTTTCAACATGAAAGAGTCCATGTAGGTTTTTACAATACTTTGCGCCAACTTTTTCTAGATAATATCGCCGCAATAAATGTATCTGTCTTTCACGTTTCCACGTCTACTTTACTCGCCCCTCTCCTCCACCTTTTTCCCGCTCTTCTGCTTTCTTTGGATTTTTCTCTAACCCCAAGAAGTGCAAAACAACGCAGTGCGAATAAATCCTTCAGCTGCGTTCCATCTCTTCTATCTTTTCTTTCTATCCCAAGAGCGCGGTAGCCTGGAGGGATAAATCAGACGAGATATTGTCCCATGCAAATCCCAACCAGGTGGTGTTCTCACATGCGCTTGAGATGCCTCTCTTGCTAGCACATATATTAGTATGCATCTGCAATATATACATAGAACGATGTTTTCGTTTATTCTTATTATACCGCTAGATGCATAAAATTCCTATATATGTGTAGTTCGTCACTTCGACTATAGACAGTATATTTGATAAACTCAAGCTTGATAATGTCTCACAGGGAATACTACGCAGGTGTCCCCCCCCCCCGATTTCGATGAAACTTAAATATGTTATAGGGGACCCAAAACTAAGGGATACATATTTTTTTTAGCTGCCCATATTGAGATTTAGGGGGTGAAAGTGCTCTCTAAAGTTGACCACCTCTCGTGGTCATTTTTCGATTGCACATATAAGGAAGCTATTTGAACAACTCTTTCGCAGTGTATCATGAAGGTCACAAGGAATGATGAAAATGCGAATTAGAACCGTCTCCGGGGGGTGAAATATGGAGGGTAAACTACCCTTGTGAAAATTCATTTTTCTCATAGAAAAAAAACTTTTGATGGAAATCCCATGGGATAAATTCCATTTGAAAAAGTAGAAAAAAATACAGAATACCTGTTTCGTATTTTTTTTTAATCGAAATTTAAAACTTAGAAGATCGATTTTTTGTAAATTGCGAAATTTCAAACTTTTTCCTGTACAAAACGAAGCTTCCAGCTAATGATGAGGGAAACCATTGGGACAGGATCCAGGAGTGATGTTGGGGAGGTTAACTACTCTTGGGGGCGGGGGGGAATTTTTTTTAATACGGGAGAAAAAATATCGTTGAGAATTTTACGAAACACATTTCGTTCGAAAGCATGAGACAATTCAAAGCACATCGTGCGATTCTTCTCCCCAAATTAAAATTGAAAGTAAAATACTTTTTTTTTTATTATATACAAGTCTTCGATTTTTTGGTAAATAAAAGAGATGAGTGATGAGTCTCTGGAAGTAACACTTGGAGGCTAAATAAACTTTCTGGGAGTTACTTTTAATTATATTAGTGAACAGAATTCATTTGAAAGAGTAAAGAATAATAAGGAATATCGAAATTTGAACCCATGAAAATGTCCACTGCTAGTTATATATGAAATACAAATATTCTTTTAATTATCCGTCTACTTGTATCACACTACCATAGTCCGAACTAAATGGTAAGGATTGAATGAAGATCCGATATGGAAAGGAAACAATGATGGTAGTAATCCCCAAATGATGGAATATACATTGATATTATTATAGAAGCTCAGACCATTTATTCCTTGTAGTATTATGTTCCCAATCAGCATACTTTCTGTTGGGATCAATCTACAGCATAGATAATGCGTACAAAAATGATATTTTTCGAAAAAATGCAGCAAACAAAGTGATTTTTTGCACCATGATCATCTGACTACTGCAATATTGAAACAGCCTTCAATATCACAGTGCGGATGAGATGATTGCCCGAATGCAAAATCGACAGGATTTTCGAATTCATCTGGTTTTTTAGAAATGTAACCACTCTGAAACCAAGTATAACGAAATGAATTTTGATACCTTGGTAATGATAATTTATTATGGACTAAAAACTGTAACTCTATGATATTGTTCCACAAATGTAAATTGATATCATAGTCCATTAGGACGAAACTATCCGAAAAATGACGAACATAATTCTTCCATATCCTAAAACCATATACGTCAAGGGGTTGAATTTTTCCAGTAGTCCCCTTTGGTATCAACATAGTTAATAATTCTTTATCCGGAGGAGTAAAAAAAAACAACAACAACAACAATATTACAACAACAACAACTTTTTTTTCACGACTTGAGGACAGTGTCCGCTCCAAGAATCGATTAACAGTAGACTTCTGGGACCTACGTTTGGGAAAAAGACTTCCTTCAACCAGGTTTTGAAATACTCTGAAAAATCAAGTACTCGATGATAATCTCAATTATTGTATAGAACATATCATGTTTGTTAGGTCTTAAATATTGTCATACGTGAAGTGAGTTTTCCCGATTTTGAAGCGGTGATGAACACATTCGCAGGTTTGAAGAGATTTTGCTCCACTATTGGACCGAAAGTTCCAGAAGGTTCATTCAAAACCAGGAAGAGAGGTGAAAGTAATTTTCCATCAGCAGAAATCAGAGGTTGTACTGTATAACTATGTGTCGTTGACGTTATCGATTGTACGACGCACGCTACTTGTTTAGAACGTTCTTCAGCTAACGTTCGCCCTGAATGAATTTCCAATTGGAAGCCACTTTGCTCAGTATTAGAAATGTTTTCTGGGCCATACGTATCCCAATAAGACCAAACTTTCAGCAGGAATTCGTCCGCTTCTTTTTGTAACTCTTCCCGAGTCTCTAATGTTTTTCTGGTGATGAATTTGTTAATCTTCCGGGATGTTATGCGGTGTGCTCGTTTGAAATAATGCAACCACTTGGACGAAGCTGTAAAGCGAACATCTTCGAAGCCGATTTCCTTCCGAGCTTGCAGGGCCCACCTTCGGAGGTCAGTATCGTGGACGATCAAACCTGCATCGATAGCATTCTTCATATTCTTTAATGTGTACTCCGAAATGCGTTTCAACTTCTCCATGTATGTCCCTCGTTTATTGATTTGATTGGCCCAGCGTCGTAACTGTCTACGCGATTTCACCTTCCTGAATCGATGGGAAACAGTTTCTATAGAGAGATTCTTCTTCTTTTTTCCACTTCTCCAGAAGTCAACGGCATTCTTTTTATATTCAAAATCTTCCTACAGGTTCCTCATCCTGCGAACAACTGTCAGGTGATTCTTCTGTATATGGTTGAAATTCTTTATCCTCGACCGCTATCATTTCGATATCTTTATAAGGCTCTTGAAAATCCAGGGATGTTTCTTCGATTATTTCAACTCCATTATATTCTTCCATTGATTGAATCAATATCCTTTCGAACGTGTCTGCTAATTCACGTTCCTCGTTGTTCACGGGTGTTTCAGCAAGATTGAGAACTTCAAATGTTGCCATCTGAAGTCGGATAACGTTGATCGGATTAACTTTCATGATAGAACAAATATAGATCACGACACTCACCGAAAAACTACTTTTCTTTTCGATGTATGTTCATAGACTGATTGTAATTCACAAGAGGGATGGAAAAACATTGATATCGTATAAGTTATATTGATCAGAGTAATTTCATCCTCAGATAACAAATGAGCCATTTGCATCAATTTGTTTACAACTCCCGAATATTCTTCAATTGTGGTTCTGCATTATCAAACAGAATGGTATTGTCATATGTCGCCATTTACGTCTCATTGAAAATGATATCACATCGAAGCGATAAGAGCAACTCAAATACATTTTATCATCGATCCATTATTTACTATACAAAATCATCGGCTCTTCTTTGTACCACCCATCCACGTTCATATACAGATGAAAATTTGAATTCCTCAAAATTTGTCATCATAATCAAATTTTTCAAATTGGAAATGCAAGCCATTTAATGCAGTCTCTACGCTGGCCTTCGGTGAAATTTTTTAGATTCATGGTCATTACTGATTTCTTTTGAAAATGAATGAGGTTGGTCCGATCGATTCGATAAAATACCATGAGGATTGTTAAACCCTCAAGTTTCACTCCCGAAGACTATTTCAATTGTTTCACTTATAATTCCGTGTAAGATCAGTCTATTATAACAAACAATTTAAAACCCATAATTTTTCAAAGAATCGATGTTTTTTACCTTAAAATTCTAATTTGCGGAAAAATTCCTAAATATCTACTTGAAATTGTCTCATGCTTTCGAACGAAATGTGTTTCGAAAATTCTCATCGATATTTTTTCTCCCTTATTAAAAAAAAATCCCCCCCCCCTACCAAGGGTAGTTAACCTCCCCGACGCCACTCCTGGAACCTGTCCCAATGGTTTTCCTCATCATTAGCCGTAAGCTTCGTTTTGTACAGGAAAAAGTTTGAAATTTCGCAATTCACGAACAATTTATTTTTTTAAGCTTTAAATTTCGATTAAAAAAAAAATCAAAATAGGTATTCTGTATTTTTTTCTATTTTTTCAAATGGAATTTATCCCATGGGATTTCCAGCAAAAGTTTTTTTTTCTATGAGAAAAATGAATTTTCACAAGGGTAATTTACCCTCCATATTTCACCCCCCGGAGACGGTTCTAATTCGCATTTTTATCATTCCTTGTGACCTTCATGATACACTGTGAAAGAGTTGTTCAAAAAGCTTCCTTATGTGTGCAATCGAAAAATGACCTCGAGAGGTGGTCAACTTCAGAGAGCACTTGCACCCCCAAAAACCCAATATGGGCAGCTAAAAAAAATACGTGTCCCTTAGTTTTGGATCTCCTATAACATATTTAAATTTCATCGAAATCGGAGGGGGACCCCTGCGTAGTGTTCCTTGTCAGAGTAGATCGATGACACTAGAGAGAGCAAAATAA